TTGACGAGGCAGGAGGGGAGCATCATGAGCATCAGCTGTGTACATTTCCGGCCACAGGGCCGTCCTAGACGCCAGGCGTTGCAAAACCAACTGCCCGAGTGATTGCGCGCATTCGACGAGGCAGGAGGGGAGCATCAGGAGCATCAGCTGGGTACATTTCCGGCCACAGGGCCGTCCTAGACGCCAGGCGTTGCAAAACCAACGGCCCGAGTGATTGCATGCATTTGACGAGGCAGGAGGGGAGCATCATGAGCATCAGCTGGGTACATTTCCGGCCACAGGGCCGTCCTAGACGCCAGGCGTTGCAAAACCAACTGCCCGAGTGATTGCGTGCATTTGACGAGGGCATCATGAGCATCAGCTGGGTACATTTCCGGCCACAGGGCCGTCCTAGAAGCCAGGCGTTGCAAACCCAACTGCCCGAGTGATTACATGCATTTAGGGGAGCATCATGAGCATCAGCTGGGTACATTTCCGGCCACAGGGCCGTCCTAGACGCCAGGCGTTGCAAAACCAACTGCCCGAGTGATTGCATGCATTTGACGAGGCAGGAGGGGAGCATCATGAGCATCAGCGGGGTACATTTCCGGCCACAGGGCCGTCCTAGACGCCAGGCGTTGCAAAAAAAAATGCCCGAGTGATTGCATGCATTTGACGAGGCAGGAGGGGAGCATCATGAGCATTAGCGGGGTACATTTCCGGCCACAGGGCCGTCCTAGACGCCAGGCGTTGCAAAACCAACTGCCCAAGTGACTGCATGAAATTGACGAGGCAGGAGGGGAGCATCATGAGCATCAGCTGGGTACATTTCCGGCCACAGGGCCGTCCTAGACGCCAGGCGTTGCAAAACCAACTGCCCGAGCGATTGCATGCATTTGACGAGGCAGGAGGGGAGCATCATGAGCATCAGCGGGGGACATTTCCGGCCACAGGGCCGTCCTAGACGCCAGGCGTTGCAAAACCAACTGCCCGAGTGATTGCGTGCATTTGACGAGGCAGGAGGGGGGCATCATGAGCATCAGCTGGGTACATTTCCGGCCACAGGGCCGTCCTAGAAGCCAGGCGTTGCAAACCCAACTGCCCGAGTGATTGCATGCATTTGACGAGGCGGGAGGGGGGCATCATGAGCATCAGCTGGGTACATTTCCGGCCACAGGGCCGTCCTAGACGCCAGGCGTTGCAAAACCAACTGCCCGAGTGATTGCATGCATTTGACGAAGCAGGAGGGGTAGCATCATGAGCATCAGCTCGTACATTGTCCGGCCACAACAGGGCCGTCTAGACTCCATGCGTTGCAAAACCAACAGCCCTCGAGTGGATTTGCATTGCTTTGAACGAGGCAGGAGGGGGGCATCATGAGCATCAGCGGGGTACATTTCCGGCCACAGGGCCGTCCTAGACGCCAGGCGTTGCAAAACCAACTGCCCGAGTGATTGCATGCATTTGACGAGGCAGGAGGGGGGCATCATGAGCATCAGCGGGGTTCATTTCCGGCCACAAGGCCGTCCTAGACGCCAGGCGTTGCAAAACCAACTGCCCGAGTGATTGAGGCAGGAGGGGGGCATCATGAGCATCAGCGGGGTACATTTCCGGCCACAGGGCCGTCCTGGACGCCAGGCATTGCAAAACCAACTGCCCGAGTGATTGCATGCATTTGACGAGGCAGGAGGGGGGCATCATGAGCATCAGCGGGGTACATTTCCGGCCACAGGGCCGTCCTGGACGCCAGGCATTGCAAAACCAACTGCCCGAGTGATTGCATGCATTTGACGAGGCAGGAGGGGGGCATCATGAGCATCAGCTGGGTACATTTCCGGCCACAGGGCCGTCCTAGACGCCAGGCGTTGCAAAACCAACAGCCCGAGTGATTGCATGCATTTGACGAGGCAGGAGGGGAGCATCATGAGCATCAGCTGGGTACATTTCCGGCCACAGGGCCGTCCTAGACGCCAGGCGTTGCAAAACCAACTGCCCGAGTGATTGCATGCATTTGACGAGGCAGGAGGGGAGCATCATGAGCATCAGCTGGGTACATTTCCGGCCACAGGGCCGTCCTAGACGCCAGGCGTTGCAAAACCAACAGCCCGAGTGATTGCATGCATTTGACGAGGCAGGAAGGGAGCATCATGAGCATCAGCTGGGTACATTTCCGGCCACAGGGCCGTCCTAGACGCCAGGCGTTGCAAAACCAACAGCCCGAGTGATTGCATGCATTTGACGAGGCAGGAGGGGAGCATCATGAGCATCAGCTGATTACATTTCCGGCCACAGGGCCGTCCTAGACGCCAGGCGTTGCAAAACCAACAGCCCGAGTGATTGCATGCATTTGACGAGGCAGGAGGGGAGCATCATGAGCATCAGCTGGGTACATTTCCGGCCACAGGGCCGTCCTAGACGCCAGGCGTTGCAAAACAGCCCGAGTGATTGCATGCATTTGACGAGGCAGGAGGGGAGCATCATGAGCATCAGCTGGGTACATTTCCGGCCACAGGGCCGTCCTAGACGCCAGGCGTTGCAAAACCAACAGCCCGAGTGATTGCATGCATTTGACGAGGCAGGAGGGGAGCATCATGAGCATCAGCTGGGTACATTTCCGGCCACAGGGCCGTCCTAGACGCCAGGCGTTGCAAAACCAACAGCCCGAGTGATTGCATGCATTTGACGAGGCAGGAGGGGAGCATCATGAGCATCAGCTGGGTACATTTCCGGCCACAGGGCCGTCCTAGACGCCAGGCGTTGCAAAACCAACTGCCCGAGTGATTGCATGCATTTGACGAGGCAGGAGGGGAGCATCATGAGCATCAGCTGGGTACATTTCCGGCCCAGGGCCGTCAGGCGTTAGGGGGGCATCATGAGCATCACGCCAGGCGTTGCAAAACCAACTGCCCGAGTGATTGCATGCATTTGACGAGGCAGGAGGGGAGCATCATGAGCATCAGCTGGGTACATTTCCGGCCACAGGGCCGTCCTAGACGCCAGGCGTTGCAAAACCAACTGCCCGAGTGATTGCATGCATTTGACGAGGCAGGAGGGGAGCATCATGAGCATCAGCTGGGTACATTTCCGGCCACAGGGCCGTCCTAGACGCCAGGCGTTGCAAAACCAACTGCCCGAGTGATTGCATGCATTTGACGAGGCAGGAGGGGAGCATCATGAGCATCAGCTGGGTACATTTCCGGCCACAGGGCCGTCCTAGACGCCAGGCGTTGCAAAACCAACAGCCCGAGTGATTGCATGCATTTGACGAGGCAGGAGGGGAGCATCATGAGCATCAGCTGGGTACATTTCCGGCCACAGGACGCCAGGCGTTCAACTAGACGCCAGGCGTTGCAAAACCAACAGCCCGAGTGATTGCATGCATTTGACGAGGCAGGAGGGGAGCATCATGAGCATCAGCTGGGTACATTTCCGGCCACAGGGCCGTCCTAGACGCCAGGCGTTGCAAAACCAACTGCCCGAGTGATTGCATGCATTTGACGAGGCAGGAGGGGAGCATCATGAGCATCAGCTGGGTACATTTCCGGCCACAGGGCCGTCCTAGACGCCAGGCGTTGCAAAACCAACTGCCCGAGTGATTGCATGCATTTGACGAGGCAGGAGGGGAGCATCATGAGCATCAGCTGGGTACATTTCCGGCCACAGGGCCGTCCTAGACGCCAGGCGTTGCAAAACCAACTGCCCGGGTCATTGCATGCATTTGACGAGGCAGGAGGGGAGCATCATGAGCATCAGCTGGGTACATTTCGGCCACATCAGCTGGGTACATTTCCGGCCACAGGGCCGTCCTAGACGCCAGGCGTTGCAAAACCAACGCCGGAGTGATTCCATGCATTTGACGAGGCAGGAGGGGAGCATCATGAGCATCAGCTGGGTACATTTCCGGCCACAGGGCCGTCCCGGACGCCTGGCGTTGCAAAACCAACTGCCCGAGTGATTGCATGCATTTGACGAGGCAGGAGGGGAGCATCATGAGCATCAGCTGGGTACATTTCCGGCCACAGGGCCGTCCTAGACGCCAGGCGTTGCAAAACCAACTGCCCGAGTGATTGCATGCATTTGACGAGGCAGGAGGGGAGCATCATGAGCATCAGCTGGGTACATTTCCGGCCACAGGGCCGTCCTAGACGCCAAGCGTTGCAAAACCAACTGCCCGAGTGATTGCATGCTTTTGACGAGGCAGGAGGGGAGCATCATGAGCATCAGCTGGGTACATATCCGGCCACAGGGCCGTCCTAGACGCCAGGCGTTGCAAAACCAACTGCCCGAGTGATTGCATGCATTTGACGAGCTGGGTACATTTCCGGCCACAAGGCCGTCCTAGACGCCAGGCGTTGCAAAACCAACTGCCCGAGTGCATGCATTTGACGAGGCAGGAGGGGAGCATCATGAGCATCAGCTGGGTACATTTCCGGCCACAGGGCCGTCCCAGACGCCTGGCGTTGCAAAACCAACTGCCCGAGTGATTGCATGCATTGACGAGGCAGGAGGGGAGCATCATGAGCATCAGCTGGGTACATTTGCGGCCACAAGGCCGTCCTAGACGCCAGGCGTTGCAAAAACCAACTGCCCGAGTGATTGCATGCATTTGACGAGGCAGGAGGGGAGCATCATGAGCATCAGCTAGGTACATTTCCGGCCACAGGGCCGTCCAAGACGCCTTGCGTTGCAAAACCAACTGCCCGAGTGATTGCATGCATTTGACGAGGCAGGGCGCGCCTGCAGAATACGAAAGGCGAAAGTAGGGAGAGGGAGACCCTTGACCTTCACACCCGTGGAGTCGAGGAAGAAGATTAAACAGAAGGGGAGAAGAAGAAGAACAACAACAACAGCAACAGTAGATTTAAGGTAGAGACACAGAGAGAGAGATGCGGCTGGATAGGTTCGCAGACAAATAGACCTAATAAAAAATGCTTGAGCTTATACACATCTAAATGTACACAAAATGCACATGCACATCGTCTGCAGGTTTGGATGTCCTGTACGCGATCTATCTTCTGCTTATGCTGGCCGGCACCTCATTGTTCGCATGCAGTACCGTAGCTGCTGGCCCAACACAACCAAAGGAAATGTCGTACCTCCACCCAGAACAAAGTGGCGCGGCAGCAGTATGCATGCGGGGAAGGGAGCACCTCTGTGATGCCAGAGTTGTCAGAGTTGCGGTTCGTGAGGAACGGAGGCACCGCCGGGTCCGTCTGCCTGTGGGTCTTTGCAGATGCGTCTGCGCAATTCTTCCTTTGAAATGTTTGCAGAGTACCACCCTGCCATGCATTTGAATACTACACTAGCTTGATCGCCGAACCTGTCGCCTCTTAGACTCTTCCAAGTCTGTGCCTGACAGATTGTGACAAGCAGAAAGATCCGACGATGGCGATTGAACTCGCCGATCTACTGGCTGAAATGGCTCAGTGTCACGGCGCCAAGCTCAAAATCATCGAACAGAGCGCGCGCGCGCGAGTTTGCGGGGTAGCTTGTGACGTTGGCTTGAGGTCTAAAGAAGTCTTGTCAGGTGCACATATGGGCAGCAAGCTTTGGTTGGCCATTGTTCATCAACATCTTGAAGGTTGTTCGCGGAGGTGCTCCTCGGGCCGCATCTCAGAATGCCTCAGATGTGGGGGAGGGGGGGGACTGGGGGTGGGTTGGTCTAAAGCATGTGGATACATTGTGGTGGCAACGTGTTCGACGAGGTCTTCATCGAACTGCCGGACTCCCTCTGGCGTCTTCGGGACAGCAGCGAGGTTCGGCTCACCAAGCCGATCATCCTCCTAATCGGAACCTTGCCTGCCTTGCCTGAGCTTTGACTCGATGGCCCCGAAACGCGCAGTTCTAGACAATCAGACAGCTTTGTGGGCTCCCGAGGTGTGTCGCACTGGGCATTTCACCTGCATTAGGGGGCAGGATGGGGGCAGAACGAGTCAGGAATGTCAGCCAGACGTGGTCGCCAAGGTTGCCTGCTTGCTTTTTTGCTTCGGGGGCTTTCTGGAGCACCTGCAGCAATTCGGACCGGAAGCGTCTGAAACGACCTTCCGAGGAGCCTCTGAATCTGTCCCCCTGCTTTGTGAAAGTGTATAGTCATGTGGGACCGGCGGATGTGGCGCGCGCTCGCTAGGAGAGGTGATTGACGGCAAAGTGTCGTCTTATGCAGCTTGCCAAGCACATTGTGTGCAGCGCGAGTGCAGCATCTCACAGCATCTCAGACAGCTTTTCACACGTGGTGATGTGCGCTCCGGAAGCCCAGGTTGTGGCTTATGTGGAGGCGATCTACATGCTGACTGGAGCTTTGGATGGGCCGACGGGAGATGGAGCACGAGAAGGGCACTTTGGAGCGTGCCCCGGTTGTCTTTCGTCGGCTCAGCTTTTCCCGGGTTCACAAAGCTCTGAGCATCTGTGGGCCGTTGAGTCGCCCAACACCTCTCACCAGGCTGATCATTGTCGTGATCTTTGCACCCATTGGCCAGCTAGCTTCTCGGCAGCATGCCGCCAGGGTGAATCAGTTGGCTGCCTGGGGATGTGGGTGTTCGCTTGCAGGTGGTCTCGCTCTTCATCGCAGCCATCGTGCAGGACAGACCATCCAGTCCTCCACATGGTGCTTGAACTGCGTCAGCGGGCACCGCCGCTCCCAGGAACAAGATCTGAAGCATGCACTTGACAAGCGCCACAATGAGAACAAGGCAACCGGCTGTCGGCCCTGCCTGCACGTTAGCTTCAAAATCGATCTCCGACAGTCTCCGATGATCTGCACGGGTATGATGTCAAACGCTGACTGCCTGACTGACCTGTGGCTGTCATAGCTTGGTTGTCGACAGAGTGGTGCGTAACATGTGAGCTTCAAGTGCCACTGGCCGCTGGCAGGCTTTCATGCAGCGAGCTGTGCAGACCCTCGGCATTCCCAAGGCTGTGGTTGTGGGATGTTGTGGGTGGTCCAGCAGTGGAGCCTCCAGTTATCGCATTTCCACATGCTGCAATGGCTTTGGTGCATCTTTGTCATAGTTTTTGTATCATGAGATGTTTAGGCTGTTTAGACAACAGCTGGGGCATTGCGCGCCGGCAGGAATTGCAACGGAGGGTCTTCAGCATGCACTATTTCCAGAAGATGAGCCACGACATTGAGGTGTGCTGTGATTTCTGCTGCTGCTGCGCTTGCGACCCTAGTTCCCTGCTGCTGTAGGCCTTTCAGATCCTCTTCGACGGGAAGAACCTGAGTGGGGCACTCTCATCCTCTCTGAAGCTTCTAGACTCAACTAATCGGTCCTTTTGCCAGAGATTCTCAAGAAGCTCCCAATCCCAAAGAGCTCGCGGACACATCCCAGGATATACCTCTACAAAGAAAGCGTTCTCAACTGCGCTTCCCGGCGGCATGCGGAATGCGGTCTTCAACTGAAGAAAAGCAGGGCTTGTTGTCCTTTTCTGTTCCCCCGCCAAAGAAAGACAAGTTTGCGTCGCCAGCACGCAACCACAAGCTTTGTGGCCGCTGGGTCGTTGTGGCACCCGCTAGTAATGACTTGGGGCGTCGTAGCCGTTGCAAGCAGTGTGGGTGGTGCTAAGCTTCCAGGATGGAGCTTGCTTTCCACAGCATCTGGCACCGCTACTGTGCGAAGGCTACTACAGTTACTGAGTAGAAGAAGGGTAGCTTTGCTGCCGCTTGAGGATGTGCTCTCTGGCAGTGATGTAACCCTACCCAGCAAACGCGTGGGAGATGCAAAGCTGTTTGATGGATGGACAGACGTGACCAAGGTGCGTAGCATATCCATACCAGATCTACCAGCCATATCATACGTAGCATGTTTCAGAGCACTTCGAATAGGTATTAATACGAATCATCGTTCTGATTCTTTCGGGATGAGGACTATCTGCGGGATAAAGATCCGAACTACATCATTGAGATTGTGAAGATCTTGCAAGACGTGGTGTGCCTCCCCGGCGTGCCCTGGCCTGCTTGTCCTGCGTGAGAGTCGACGGCCTATCAGGAAGAAGTGGTTTGATCAGCCAGCAGGCAATGTAATCCCCAAGCAAAGCTCAACAAGTCAAGGAGTACATCGCTCGAAGGGGCGAGATTGCGCATCAAATGTTCTTCATCGCACGCGGGCTTCTCTCTGTGCTGGTGCCTGATGTGGACCATCCGAGCGACGTAGCCTACGCAAAAGCAGCTGCTCGAGCGCAAGAGGGTTTACAGATAGAGCACTGGACAGTTTACGTCTTTCCCATTCGAGACTCTGAGTAATTCAGGTTCGTCAGCTGAAGCTCTCAGACTATTTCGGCGAAGTTGCCCTGATCAAAGACTGTGCCTGAACCCAAGCCTATCACAGTCCGACTTCGAGGAACAAATCGACAAGGGGGTTGTCTTCCAGAATCTTTCTGAGCTCCTCATGCCCTGCCAGCTGCAGGTGCGGACAGCTTGGATCCGGGCAGATTCCTACGCGTTGCTCTCATCCCTGTCCCGCTGCTTCACTGCGCTCAGCACGATCCCGGCTGCCATTATCTGATTGCAGTGGTGCTGCAGCTGTGCGTGTACCAACCTATACCAAACTTCCTTCTCATGCGACCATGCGCGAGCCAAACTTGCTACAGCATTTTTCCTACCTGGCTTGGCGCGGGTTGCTGCAATCCGGTTGCTGTTGGTCTTTCTGTTGCTGCTGTTGTAGGTGTTGCTGTTCAACTTTTACTTACCTTCCTGCGGACTTGGCACGCCGGCTATCGCTGCACACTTTTTTGTACCGCGTCGTGCGGACCGTTGTGTCGACTCAAAGGCGACTTCCCGCGCTTTTCAAAGTTTGAAAGCCTGCGCTGCAGCGTGGCCCAAGAGAATAGCAATCCGAAGCTAGCGAAGACTCCAGGTTCCAGGTAATCAGGAGAGTCGAAACTGCAGTCTCAGAACCCCAGCCCCACATCCCCCAGGCCTTCTGAAGCGCCTAAAGTTAGGGCCTTAACTCCCACAGGCTTCGACATTGAGCCGGTGTGGAAATATTTTCCGGAGTACCGGGAAGAGCTCGCGGTGCAGGTGGGAACCGAGGGTGGGCTTCAGGGTGTTGCGTCATCCAGGATTCAGGCCCGGAAGTTTGCCCGAAACACGCCGTCCTCCAAAACCATGACACCCCACCAGGTCAGCCAGGTCGCTGCCCAAGACAAGCAAAGGAATGCCCGGAACCGGTGGAAGAACGTCGGTCTCGGTGAGCATCCAGACATCCAATTTAGCACTAAAAAGCGATCTCCAGGGTAAGAGAACAACCCATGCGAGAAGGGAATATCCCACAAGTGATGAGTTTTTGGTGTAGACCTTTGACTTGCTGCGTTATCGCAGAAGTAGGCAACCTTCCCAGGAAGCACAAGAAGCTGATGGAGCTAAAGAAGATGGATGAAGAGAAAGCGGCCTCCTCTTCATCCAGAAAGACGGCGAGGAGCGATTCGGTTAGAGTGCGCTCGGATCCTCACTCAATGGGATATATGTACATATTTTATATATATATATATATATACTGAAATATGTGTATATATATATGTACTGTATATATATATATATGCATCTATATACTTTATATATATATATATAACGATCGATAAGACCGAGCCCTTTGACAGGGGCTCCATCCTGGCCGCTTCGATGCACGACGAACCCAACGACGATCCCGGCGTGCTCGAGTCGGGGGACTCGGCGGCGCCTGGGATGAGAGGTGGCTTCAAAGATTCACCCGTGAACACTGCAAGCTCCCAGAAGGACTCGGGGTCACAGGAAGTTCCGTTTTAAGCTGTCTAGAGGGTTTTAATCGTTTGCACATGGCAAGCCTGAAGTTGCATCCGAGGCGCTCAATACGCCAGCGTCTCGGAGGCACTTTGTTACCAGATGCCCCGAAGGAAGCCTGCTAATCAGCAGCGCCGGGCAAGCGACGCACCAAAGCGGGCTTGCTCAACCCCATGGTAAAGTGACTTGCGCGTAAAAGCGTTCTTGCGGTGTATACCGGATTGGAGCAGGGATGGCTGGGCTGTTGCGGAGATGTTGAGAGCCGAGGAAGGCACAGATGCGGCCACGAAGATGTTGTCAGAACTGCTTCAGCGCCAAAGCTCCCTGGAGAGAGAGTTCGAGGCACGCGCCAGCATGCGCCAGACCAATACTTCATCTTAAGATGATCCTGAAACTGCTCATTAAGAGCTCATCGTAGCCCCGCAAGGCACACGGCCGGATGCTGGGTCAGATCTTGGACGCTTTACACAGACACGACGACTTGCCGCCTTTGCCCCCGCCACCGGTGCCCCCACCGAAGAAGGAGCGCTGTGGGACGGGAGGGATATTGGTAGGGGATTGTAGGCCACTGAAGCCCACTGAAGCTCCAAAAGACTCAAATGCCGCTAGAGCGCTGGGGTTTCGCAGGGGGGGGGGGGGGGGGAGGGGGGCACCGCAGGTTGTTAAGAAGCTGAAGGCCAAGAAGCTCCTTGGCAAAGACGATTTGAGGGGTCAATGTCCCATCCACAGCATGAGAAAAATGTGGCACACTCAATTCCTTTTGGTTCCCAGCTCATTCCCATTGTGTGGATTGTCGCCGGGCTGTTGCTGAAACATGGCCCCTCACCGTCGCATGGAAGAAGAAAGAAGGGTTGCTGCTGTGTCATGCAAGGGCTGCTGCTGGAGCGCCCGGCACGCCCGAGGAGGCAGCCATCTTCTCTTCAAGAGATGCATGATGCATGTGTTTTCCTCGCTAACAGGTAGCACACACACAGGCGTATTGTTGCAATAGTGGCTTTATCAATCCTACAATCATGTTGCTGACTGTTTGTTGAATACAACACCCCGCCCCACCCTGGTGGTTGCTGCAGTTCAGCCGAATCCACAAGTGCGTGTGTGCGTGTGGGGGCGTGTGCGTTTGTGCGTGTGTGCGTGTGTGCGCGTGCGTGTGCGTCTGGGTGTCGGTGTCTCTGTCTATGTCTCGGTCTCTGTGTGTGTCTGCGTCTGTGTGTCTGTGTCTGTGTTTGTCTATGTGCGCAATCAGCATGCAGGCAGAGGAGCATCCCGGAAGTGAGAGCCTTGAGAAGGCACTTTGGCGAAATGCTGAGATGAAGCTTGTTACAGCTTGTTTCTCATTCAAAGAATTCGCGAACTGGATCCGAGGAGCCCTTGCTCGGCGACAGTTGGAGCGTTGGGCCGTTCGCCTCAGATTCCTCGCTACATTGCGGCGTTTTTTTTTGTTTTCTTTTTGTTTTTCTCATGTTAAAGTTTAGCGATGACTTTCAGGCCCGATGCCGAGGAGGCGCGGGGTCTTTACAAGATGAGTGCCGAAGCCGTGAAAAGAAAACACCAGGCTGCATAGCTGGTGAGTCCGCCGATTCGCAGCTTGGACTGATTTCAACTCACGCTTTCATTGCAGAAACGCAGCATGAAGATAAGCACATTGCAAGACTTTAGGAAGGGCGCTCGTGCTCTTGCGACCGGAGGTTAATGACTGCACCCTTCTGGTGCACCACGGAAGGCAGGGGATGCCATTCTTGAGCCAAAGACGAGCGCCTACTAGAGTCTTTCACACACATCTGCAATCCTATATGTTTTTATGCATGTTACCCCCCAGAAACTCGACGATCAGCACCTTCAAGGATTGAAGCCGCAAGCGATGGATCAATGAGGGTTCGGAGGGGGGGGGGCAGTTATGAAGCGAGAGAAAGTCGGAACCAACTACTCCTAGCCTAGCCGCCACCAACTCGCGTCACGAGCAAGTTTGTGAATCATGCTTTCAACAGCGGTAGGTCTCGCATGTTGCATTATTATCTCTGTTTATCAGTTTTTCCTTCCCCCTAGGCCCTCGATATCTATAGCTAGCGTATATGGACATATCTATATATATATATAGTTGTGCATGCGCTGTGGCCGCAGGGGGGAGGGTGTCAAAAGGCCGAAGACGCTTTGCGAAGCCGCGTTGTGAAGCTGCGTTGCGAAGACCAGGTAGGGGCAGGTGCAGACGCATTGCCAAGCCGCATTGGGGGCGGCCCATTTTGCCGTGGAAGCACGCATGCGCGATTCAGGCTGAAATCTGGCCTATATACACTGTAAGGATGTACTTAAGTTGGCCATCATCCTCCAAGCCTCACAGAGCTTTGATCAGGTCGGCGACAAGCTGGGATATTTGGTGTTTGCCATGAGCCTTCAGTCTTCTCTTACGGTTGTCTTCCCCTCATCGTAAGACCCCAAAAGCAGCCCCTGACACAATTCGGAACACGATTGTCTTTGTTGCGGGGCCTTTTGAAAGCTTCAGCCTTGTTTGTCGTTTTGGGCGGCAGCGAAGCGGGAGGCCGGCTCGACCCAAGGGGGTGGTGGCAGATGTCGACAGAGCCCTCTCATAGTCGGATTTTTGCTCCTCGTGCATACTCTTCTCATGTAGCCGAGGTCATTTAGGTACTGTGCTACCGAACTGGCACAGCTTCTGTTAGCCTATGCCTCTTGTTTGCGGTTCCGGGCCGTAGGATCTACCCGTCGTGTAATCTTAGTCAGCTCCGTTTGCTTGGCGTCTTCGGCTGCAGCTGGTTCGGGACCGCTTTTTGCACTTCTTACACGGTGTTTGCGCACGTGGACTTCCGGTTCCATGGTTTTGGATCCTGAGAGTGCTCGCAGGTGAGTGTCCCGGTAGCTGTCATTCATTACCCAATTCCAGATTCGCAGGGCTCGGGGATCAAGACAAACCTTGTGTTTGAAATTCGTTACGAAACCTTTGACAATCAACAAACGTTCAAGATGAAAATGCTGAACCGTCTGCTAAGGGAGCTGTAAAGGTTTTGGGTTGCTACCGTTTGTATTGAGGTTTTGTTGCGTGATCTTCAAGGTTCCCTTGTTTACGTGGGGCTGAGTGACTGGTGCTATCTGAAGTTGGGCAGCCTCATTTCATTTGGGCGTTGCAGAGAGTGCACTTCTTCTTCTTCTTCTCTGTTTTTGCCCGGTAGAGTACGCATGTTTGTGAGACTCTTAGATATAGATATCACACATATTATGTATCGTACGGATAGTGGACGTGCCAGGCCACATCGCCTCGCTTTCCTCTGAGCGGACATCGGAAGGGAAGCGTCGCTTTGTAGCTTTGAATGCCAAGCCTTTGACTTTGACGGTGGCTGGTGGGGGCCCTGCAATGTGGTGCCGACAAAGCGTCAAGGGCTAGAAATCTGCGACGATGGATCTCAATGGCTGGGCAATGATGCCTCTTTATGGGCTGCTTCAAAGAAGCAGCCTAAGCGTTAGCGCTCTGATTTTCAGGCAGGGCTGCGCGGACTTGGGATGAGAAGGTTTTTGTGGTATTTTGGGGAGCTTAGGGATTAGAGACTCCGGCACCTGGCTGTTCAGGACAAATTTGGCTTCTGCCACTTTACCCCAAGCGCCCACAGGGGCCCTTTCAATGCGGGCACTGGCCAAGCCAGGGAATCCCATGCGCGTCGCAGGAGCAGGAAATGGAGCTGGGCGACGGTGCTTCATCTCCACGGCCCAAACATACCCAGCTGAATTTGGTAAAACAGAAACCCCACGTCGCAACATCCTGCTGACCCCCAGGGTCAGAGGCAGAGGCCCTCCAGAGGTAAACCAGATACAGTACACGGGGTAATGCAGGGTTTCCTGACTATCCAGGCGGGCCATCAAAACCATCAAGGCCCGTGTAAGAAGCCCCATGGAGTCACCGAAGTCGGTAAGGAGTCCTGTGGCCCTGAAGTTTCTCTCAAAGTCCAGGCCTCGTCCTGGCCAGGTTTTTAGAGGAGGTTGTTCTAAAATCGGGGGTTCCTTTTTGGATTGAGGGCCCTTGTCTTGCATTCAGTTATGACAAGGTATCTCTGTTCGGGTGCCCAGATTGAGAACAACCTCCCAGTGTCGTTCAGAAGTAGAGCTTCTTGCAGCCCATGGCCTCGCCGGACTCCACGCTGGAGCATCCCCCGCAACCCCCTCGCCTCCTGGAGGGACACCAAGCTGCACTTAAAGCTCACCACAAAAAGTAGCATCCGCCTTATAAAGTGCCATATGAGATTTGGTTCTCCGATGCCAGAGGCCTTGGCGACTACGCGGAGCTCGCCCGATGTGCCCAGAACGTGCAGAAGTACCAGCGGCGTCGGTCCATGGTGGAGCGCCGGAAGCTCCTGAGACTGAGAATTCAGGGAGTGATTGCAAGGGAGTGATGAGTCCAGGGAGGCGTTTTCTTGTTTTTGTCTTTGCTGAGAGGCGTTCAGTGAAGTGAAGACACAAAGAAGTGTGACTGACGTGACGACGTGGCACCACCTCAGAAAACACGACTTGTGGATGAGGTCGATCCGAAGCCGAACGATGCGAATGAGCCAGATTGGCCTCTCGAGGGATAGCACTCCCAGCCTTCCGATTCCTCAACGAAAGCATTCGCTGGCTTTCAACCGACTGCGCAGGACTCGCACAGACGCACAGACCACCTCCCGCCTACGGTAGTTTCACTCGCCTCCCACTGTGATCCCATGTGCCCCTCCGCATCTGCAGGACCATGACGCCGGTGGTGATACCAGGGTGGAGAGGTACCCTCCACCGGATGCTGCAGTCCAGTGCCTGTGACGTCATCACAGGCCTTGTGAAGCCAGGTTGCACATACTGGCAGAGGTTTTTCTGGAGGCCTCTTGTAGCCCCCTTGTAGCCGTCCTCTCCAGCTCTCGATCTGCCTGTTAGACCCCTAAACCCTTCTCAGGATTGTCTTTGATGTGGCCCTCACATGCGTCGACATTGATATTCGAGCTGCGGGCGGGACTACTCCCCTGGCTTTGGAGCTTGCGTCGAACGCGTGCCTGATGATGTATCAATGCAGCATTCTTGTGAAATCAAACTGCCAGGTTGCGATTAGAACAATTGCTGTAGAGTAGATAGAGTCAAGGTATCTCCTGGAGCTTGTTGCCATCCTTTTCGTCTGGAAGGGCCAGGTATTCCGGGACCCATGGACCTTGCTGGACATGCTGATCGTGATCTTCGGGCTTGTGCAGCTCGTGATGGGGTTCATGGGTGTCTCCCTGGACAAGGTCACGATCCTCCGAATGCTGCGCGTGGTGAGGATCATGCGGCTCTTCCGTCTCTTCCGGAAATTTGCGATGCTCAAGGAGTTGCGGAAGCTGATCCGGATGACAGCCAGCCACTCAAGGGATGTGTTCGCAGGTCAAGGCAAAGAATACGGACTAATGACTAATTAAGAGTGGCTGCTGTTCAGTTCATCGCCTGCTTTCCTCAGCATGAGGCCTCATGTTTCAAGACGCTTTGCTGGTCCTTCCTCTTCTGCTCCGCGGACTTGTGAGAGTTTCAAGCGGACATTTAAGAACTCAAGGCAGTTGTGCCCCCAAAATACGAGTTGTAATCCGAAGCCTGGGATTATAGCGCTGTCAGTCGCTTGCCTTGCTACCGTATGGTTCCCTAATGGGCCCTAATGTTCCCTGTCATCTGAAAATCAAGTAGCATGTGTTGGGGAGACGTGCGCGACGAGGGCTGAAACGGGCATTGGCTTCCCTTGTGTTTCTTTGAGCTTCCCCTAAAGTTCGTTGCATCTTGGACTGGGCGCAGATCAGGCTTCGTTGTGATGACGAGTTGGGCAATGCTGGCCGTGGAGCTGCTGAACCCCTACATGCCAGAGCTGTCCAGCTTCTGGGAGGACTGCCCATTCTGCCGCCGCTCTTTACAGTCAGTGATGTCCGCCAACCTCCTGCTCTTCAAGACCGTGGTCGCCGGGGACAGCTGGGGTCAGGCGGGGTCCGTGCTGCGCGATCCCGCTGATGGGTTCGGAATCGGGCTTAGAGTCGGCTTTCTCTCGCGCTTCTTTTTTCTCCCAAGTTTCGAGAGAGGTGGCTGTGCCATTGATCGAAGCCCATCCCACGGTCGCCATCCCAATCTTCATCGGCTCCCAGCTCTCCATTGTCTTCGGCGTGCCCGGACCTCGGGAACTGAGCGGACCCTGAGCCCCCCGCCCGTAGCAAAACCCTCCGTAGCCATGCAGGCTGAACTTGGTGGTTGCAGTGGTGGTGGACACTTTCGCCGAGCAGCGTACAAAGGACGATGCGCACATGCCGCACATGCAAGGCTGATAAGCAAAAGTTCACAGTACGTACTTGGAATTAAAAAGAGTTTTGGAAGGGAGAAGAGCTTTACTTCTGAGTAGTTATAGCTACAGCGCTGGATAGGAGATGTCTAATTGAGGTATCCTGGATTTCGTCATTGATCACAAAGCAACATAAAGTCTGTACCGTCCCTTTCGTTTTGGATGCTTCACCCCAACATGAACAATTTTCAGGGTACCCTCGATGTCATCTCTTGACCCAACATCGTACGTTGAGAGGCAAGCCCAGCTCCTAAGCTTCCTGCAGTCCAGTACCTCAATGTCTGATTTTTGGGGTCCCCTCACCCTGGGCTGGATTTAAGTTCAAGATAGCCCCTCAGTCGCTCGCTTTGAGAGAGCGTGCTTCCTGCAGAAGCAGAATCAAGAAGGTCCCCAGGCTGAGGGTGCCCTCGAGCTCTTTATTTTATAATGCTTTGCGCTCACCTTTGCACAGAGCGCGTAGGTCGGCTGAGGCTGCACTTCTTCAGCCCAATGGTTTCGGAAGCAGTGCTGTCACTGTACAGTGAAGGACGTGACGAGCATGGCGCAAGAGATGGACGAGGATGCGGAGGAGGAGCTCCAAGAGCTGGACAAGATCTTTGCCAAGATTGACAGCGACAATGATGGCGTGCTGAGTTGGGAGGAGTTGGTGAAAGGCGGAGAACTTCTCGACTTTACGGTTCGCGGAGTGGTAAAGGGGAGTCTTTGTTTCGCTATCATGTACCGATTGACTCAGCATTTGCTGTAGATGTTGCGGGTTGTTTTGGGGTTGGGGTGTCGAAGAATTAAAGCCCGATCTGGGACCTCCAGGCGCTTCGAGAGTCCGAGAGTTTCAACACCGGCTGCGGGTCATGGACATCGACCAGAAGGACCTGGAGCAGCTCTTCTCCATGCTGGACCACAACTCGAGCCTCTGCTTTGATGGGAGAATCGTACATCCTCGTAGTAGTCAGCCACAGACCCATTGCCAAAATGGTCAGGCCGTCAGACCGTCAGACCTCTAAAGTTATGATCTTCTGCGGGCGCAAGGATAACATGACGACGCACACACAAAGTTAGAAGGCACAGAGGGCCGTACTCCTGTGATGACGTGACCAAATATCCCTGAGTCTGTACGCCTGTACATCAGCATTCGGCATCCTGCCCTGTGCCGAGGAACAAGACCGTGGATCCCGATGAGTTCAAGCGGACCCTGGCGAGGTGGGCCTTTGACTCCAAGACGGCCACACGCTTCGTGCGGTACACCTTGCAGCTTGACAACTTTCACATACTTTCAAAACTAAACTTGAGCCTGGTTTGTTTTTTCGGATTTCGAAGCTTCCTCGACGCGACTCCCGCGTCCGCGCGGTTCAGGATTTTTGAATGGATTGTTTGCGGGCGTAAGAGCAGGGAATCAGTGACAAGCACGTCCCACAGACCAAGGCAGCAACTAATGGAAGATCACAGCTCCGCAGCTGAGAAGCTCTCGAACATGGAGTCGCCTCTCAGCGTGAAACTTGAGCTCGATCCTCGCTTGATAGCCCTTGCGTCGGGCACCCAAAGACACATCCCCGCACAGCCCAAGCTACCCGAAGGAAGCACCCTATAGAACCCAGAACCTTCTAACAGCTGCTCGTGAACCATAGCCTAGCGGCCTAGCGGGGATGGCAGCGCACAACGCCAAGCCGCCAAGCCGCCAAGCCAAGCCCACGTCGCCTCAAGGCTGGTGCGCGACAGCTTGCAGGACGCCAGCCCACATCCAGCTCCACGTCGCCGTCGGCGCCGCAAGGTGAAGCATGGGAACTTCTTACTTGCAGGGCACTATAGGGCTTCTGAAAGTTATGCGTGTGCGACTCCTTTTGCAACCCAAGCACAAGAGCGGTGTGGCTGGTTGGATGAAATCCGGGGTGGACGTCAGAACAGGAGCGCGGCGTAGAAGCTCGCGTGTATTATTTCTGGTGGTATAGCGAGGATAAGCTTCGCCGTGTTACGCCTTTATCTGGGCCTTGTGTGGTTTGAAAGAGAGTTGTTTTGTTGTTGTCAATATGCCCTGCGGTGTGGCGTGGTTTGCTTGGTGGCTGGCAAACCAATCGGATTACATGGGTGGGGATCCTCTTGCTTTGCTTCTTCATTGGTGGGTGGCCTCGTGGGTGTCATTCGGTGTCATGGTGTGTCCAACGATTTGACAGATCTTGCTGCAGGTGAAGGCTCAGGACAGCGGCGGGTCCAAGGACTGCGGGGCTTAATGGTGGCTCTTCTGTGGCAAGCACTCGTGCTGAGCAGCACGCCTATCGTTGCTCAGAAATTGAATTGGCCTGCTGCATGTTCCTTGGAAGGACGTGTGAACGCTTTAACATCAAGGCAGAGACGTGGGCTGGAGCTGCCAAGAATGTGGAGGACACCGGAGAGCTTTACGTCTTGTTGATGATCATGTCTGGTTTTTTTCCGGGTTCTCGCTCCAGCTCCCACCAGGGGCAATAGCAACATCTTCCGGTTCTTCCTCAATCAATCTGTCCACGGAACATGGCGCACACGGCCACCACAGAAGCTCAGACACCAAGGGACACAATGCCCAGATGGATTTGAGATGCAGTCTCGGTTTCCCTGTTGAGGATCGGTGTGGATGCCCGGCCAGCTCCACCTATTGAAAAGCTGCAATCGCTTCTGACTTTGGAATTCTGTTGCACGCGTCTTTCGCGCCTTTCCTTCCGTAGGTTGGATGCGCCATCCCTTCTGGTATAATTCATGCATTTCACGCATTTCATGCGTTCATGTATTTCATGCATTTCATGCATTTCATGCCTGGCCTTTGCTGCTGGCATTCCGACGAATTGCCGCCAGCCTTTTTGCCGGTACATAGCAGCTCTTGGCACAGCTGATGAAGAAAGTTTCGCAGGGGGAAAGATGCATGAAAGCGCAGGTTTGCACTGCTCAAGCCCTAAACTCTTGTTGATGAGAATGCACGGCCTCTTGTAGCATCCTAAACCTTCTGAGCTGTGAGCGTCCTGTGAGCCAAAGGCTTCTCTGCGAAGGCTGCTATATCCTCTCCGTCGCCCTGCCCAGCGCCGGCTCGAAGTGCCGCGAAGTGCCGCGAAGTGCCGCATGTCAAATGAGCCGGCCATGCCGCCAATAAGCCGGTTAAATGGCTTAACGCGGGTAACCCGATGAGATGGCAGCCGACGTCCCACTGGAAGTTCGCTTTTTTTTGCTGGCACAGGAAACCTGATACTCGACCCTCTTGACCAAAGACGACTAGGCAAGCGTATCCCGTTGAAGCCATGTCGAACCTCATTCCAGATGATGTGGAGCAGATGCACTCGGCCGCTTGTTTAGAGCATAAACCCTGGCAAAGCAAATCTGCTTCTGCTGGTCAACTTGCAGCTCTTCCTACGATATCAAATTGCTGTGCTCGAGAGCTTTGCTTACTGGGACTTCCTGACACCAGGCAAATTTTCAGAAGTGCCTGCTAGGTGAAGATCGACTATGTGTCCACCCGCGTCGAGAAAGAAGACCTGGAGAAGCTCTTTGGCAAGTACGGCCGGGTCGGAGACGTCGCCAGCTTACCGGCAGTATTGGCTCAGAATACGTCCCAACACGTGCAGAAAAGGGGCCTTACCTCGCGCCGTTTGGGGAGGTGTATTTACCGAGCCATCCCAATGGTGACCGAAAAGGTTTCGCATTCGTCCGATATTACAAGAAACAGGAGCCAGAGTGGGTGATCTCTCTCGGGGGCGTCGCGAGAAACACTCGATTTTTTTTTCTCTCTCTCTCTCTCTCTCTTCTCTCTCTCTCTCATTCTCTCTCTCTCTCTCTCTCTCTCTCTCTCTCTCTCGCGCTCGCTCGCTCTTAAAGATCAGCATTCGTCTCTCCAATCGCTTTATGCAGTTTCACAAGTCTCCGCAGGATGCGGAGGATGCCGTGAGGGAGCTGGAAGGCTACGAGCTCGAAGGAAAGACGCTGAAATGCATGCTGGCAACGGTGCAGAAGAGAAGCTTGGCTCAATGTGAGCCATGTTAAAAGCATTCTAAGCTCTCTGTTGACTTTCATGTCTCCCTCGTCTCCTGCTGCATCCGAGGTCGATTCAACCCCAACGTGCGCAGCAAACCCGCGCGCTCCAGGCAGCTCGCAAGTGCACAATCTCCGAGAAGGTGACTTTCTTTTGAGACTGGCGTTTCTTCTGGAGCTCTTCTTCTGCTTCTTGATGTTCTTTATATGTCTTGTTATTCTTGTTGCAGTGGTCGCTTCTGTGTTGCCCTGTTCGCGGTTGTTCGCGGTTACCATTGTCGTCGTGGTCGTGTTTTCGTCGTCGTGGTGGTGGTGGTGGTGGGAGTAGTAGTAGTAGTAGTAGTAGTAGTAGTAGTAGTAGTAGTAGTAGTAGTAGTAGTAGTCGTGGTGGTAGTAGTAGGCGCATGTCTGGTTATTTATTCCGCGTTTTCTTGGTGTCCGGGGCCCAGAAACACTGCAAAAACCATGCTTTTTCACGATAGGGGGAGCTCTTCGTTGGGGGAGGGGGGGGGTGGGGGTGTCTTTGTTACTTTGGAGTTGTGAATGTTTGGTGTGTTGGTTGCTTGTGTCATCACCGACATTGTCTAGCAACGAGCTTTTTGGAGTGAAACGAAGCACCTTTTTTTTTTGTTTCCCATTTTGCAACCTCAGTAACTTTCAGAAAATTGCGTGGGCCGGGCGCAAAGAGCGAATAAGAATAAGGATCCGTTCACATCGGCCAAAACCGGGCTGAGCAGAAGTCCTAAACCTGAATTCCTGAACCTTGACCCTGGAAGAGCAGCGCCAGACTCCTGAACCTTGAGCTCTTACCGTCGCTGTAGGCTGGCTGTGTTTGCATGTACTTGACTGGGCATGGCAACGATGCGTAGCTGAAGCCTTCTCAACCGGATTGTTCAAAACTCACAGTCTCCCTAAAGACACGATAGCTCGCTGGAAGGGCGACGGTTGGTGCTCATAGCTTTTTTCAGTTACAGTTGGCAAAGTTGTAGCCTAGACTCAACGCTTTCTGTAGAGGGGAATCAGGGAAAACTCCCATTCCTTCACCTTCGATATGCTCCGCGGGAGGTCTCGCTCCCGACGGGGACGCCGCGATTCGAGATCCAGGCGACGAGACGCTCCTCGGACAGCATGTGGCACACATTGTACCAGGTAGTGAACTTCGAAAGGCGACTCCGCAGTGTTTCCTCAGGATAGCGGGCAGGGTTGGAAAACGGCAGGCTGCAGGTTCGGAGGCTCTTGCGGCCCAGCATCGTCTAAACGGTCTTCATCCGGACTCCGGAAAATTGTCCGAAGGAGTCATGGAGTCATGGAGTTATGGACTCCCAATCCCGAAGGCACAGGCTTGAGAAAATTCGGGAAGTGATCCGAAGCCCGAAAAAACTGACACCGGGGCTTGAGGACTCGCGCCGCCGCGACTCACGGGCCCGGGGGCGAACACCCCGCCGAGACTCCAGGTGGAGACTTGCGGAACTTTATATTTTGCTTGTCTTGGTCGAGCTGGGGATTCCTGGGAGCCCGAGTTTGGGAAGCCCAGGTCCTAGTCATAGTCAGTCATACCCCAAGACCTTCAGCCTTTGTGCAGGCCCCGAACGCGAAGGGACGACTCCAGCTTCTTGGCTTTCACACGCTGTTTTGATGACAAGGGGGATGCTGGTCCACTGACATTCACTGCAAAGCCCACGGTTTCTGCGCTTCAGTCTTGCCATGTCTTGCCATGACCCTTCAAAAGCACCGCGCAAAACCCTGTAAGCACCCAGGAGACAGCTACAGACGCCGCTAGGGACGCAGGCCGAGGCATGGCTTGCCCTTGCGAAAGAAGCTGCAGCTCATTTTGCCTCCTGTTTTCAGGCATTGTGCAAATGCTGTGTGCATGCTGTGTGCAGCATATGCAGAAAAACGCGTTGCGGCAAGGCTCCTCGGCAGTGAGCTTCAGGAGGGTTCGGGGTCAGCAAACGCTTAACCTGCCTGGCCTAAGCACTCGGGGCTGCCTCATTGACCAAGCTGATGATGTATTTGGTTGGTGTCTAGGTGTTGGTATGATCAGAGAGTTACTGCGCCGCTTGTAGATGGATGGGTGCATCGACTATTGCAGAGCCCGCCCATGAGCGCCAGGTCAGGCAAAATGAAGATTACTGCTGCCTTTTGTATGCCTGCCAGAGCCCTTGTAGCCATGTGAACATCCATGCTCATTTATGCCACAGAATTCCCGAAGCTTGGTGATGCCTGTGCCCCCTGCCAGAGCATGATCAGTCGTGGCAAGAACGGTGCCCTTAAGATTTGGCTACTAGCTACCCGCCTCTCAAGCATGCTTCCGTTTCTGAACCGGTCCAAGCACACCCCTTTGTGCTGGTACCAGTCCCCTTGGCGGTCGAAGACTCCCATGTTTGCCCACCAATTTGACCAAAGTATGAAACAGACACGGACTGACGAATGGCCAGCACGGTTGCTGCTGCAGGCCCAGGACTCAGGCTTGTGCCCCACTGTCCTCTGAGCATGTGCTTTGCTTGTCAAGAGGTCAGGGCTCCTTGGAGCCGAGGTTCTCGATTCGTTGGGTGGCAGGACTTGGACAGACTTGCTATGCTATGATAGTGCCCGAAGTGGTTTCAAATCCGTGTGGGCCCGTTTCTCTCTGGTGGTGTGAGAGAGACTTTACTGCAGAGCAGATGTTACTGGTAATGCTCTGGAGGACGCTACCAAGGAGCTGCGGAGCCAACGTGCTCGCATGCAAAAAAAATCAAGTCGAGCTGCTTTGGACCACTTCTGTTCGAAGAAGGGGTTGAGTTCAGTTGAGCGTCTGAGCGTGCCTGACTGGAAGTGCAGGGTTCTCTTGTCTTGCTCCTGCAGCTATGCTCCGCGCAGCTCCGGCTTCAAAGCATGGCGAACTACTCGGGGGATACCGTGCTGTACTACGAAGGCGTGTTGTGGGGTGTTGTTGAGCTTGGGATTCCCTCCGCAGAAGGGAGCCTTGTGCAGGTGCAGCAGAGGAAGATCCAGTTCTTACCTTCGCCTTTCATGGCTCGAGCCACAAGCTCGTGCTCGACGTAGCAGAGGACCTGCAGAAGCATCAGCTCATGTCATCATGTCAGCAGACGCGTCAGAGGAGCGCAACCGAACCCGAGCCGGCGCCGACAAAGTTGCGGGTTTCCGGCAGCGCTATGAGAAAGAGGTGCGGGGAGAGGGACGCCGGCTGTGAAGTAAAAGTTGATGTGCGCGGGTAATGGTTTCTGCGATCATGAGTGCTGACTCCGAAGCGCTGCCAAGAGTTGCCGAGTCAGCTCTCTTTGCAGTCAGGTCGCGGCAGCCAAGAGCAAGTACTCAGGCATCGAGCCGGAGTTTAGCGATGATGATATGAACGCAACCATTGCGGAAGAGGATCGCATCTTGGCACAAAATGTTGTGGCACGCCTTCTCCATGGGCGGGTCTAAAGAGTTGTGGGGAAGAGCAGTGAAGTCTGACACCCACTGTCACTGCTTCTGGTAGTTGCTCCTGTCTTGAGGCAAGCGTGGCTGGGAGTATCCGTTGACCAAGACACAGCAGAAGAGAGAGTTTGGGTGCGTCCCTGCTGATCAGCAGCGCTTTCTGTGGCGGTTGCAGGACGGGTCGGGGTCTTTTCTGGAGTGACACTCAGCACTGAAGTGAACCATGGATGCGGAACCTCTATCTGGAATATCTGGCGTAGGATGGCCATCTGGATGTGGTGGAGGAGACCGATCTGGAAGCTGCGCAATTATTAGCATTCTGGGCACGAGTCAACGACATCTTGCCTTCAACCGATGCATGGAGCCACATCATCTGTACCCGGAGTCAGCATTCTTTTGCCGGCCTTTGTGGGCGACCTAGGCATCTGCCCCTCCCACCCCCTTTGCTTGCTTGCCATCAGTCATGATGGTGTATGCCCTCTGACTGCTTATGTCCTACTTCACCAACGGTGCAGGACTACCTGCACAACCCGAAGATGCGCAAGGCCATTGACATCAACCGGTACGATGACATGGGCCTCACGCCCTTGCACCATGCGGCACGTCTCGGCCACGGGGACATCGTGCGGGCCAGAGGCTCAGGATGATGTGAGGGCGTTCCACATATGTTACTAGATGTCACCAGCGAATGCTGGAGATGGGGGTGACGGGGTCTTCGAAGAGCCCTTTGCAGAATCCAAAGGGGAGAGAGCCAGGGAGACACAGGAAAAAGATACAGGAAAAAGGTCAGCTAAGAAACATGTCAGTGCGCCCGGATGTGCTCAGGCGCTTATCGAGGCCAAGGCAGACCCATTGCTCCGGGACCGTGGCCAGGGTCTCACGGCCTTGGACTTCGCCCAGCGTGGCCGGGACTGGGATGCAGGGCCCAACGAAGAGGCAATCAAGGCGCCCGAACGGATCCGAACTTTTGGAACGATCAAACCAGACTTTTAAGTGGCCTGGAATAGGGAGAGTTGCGGTCTTGCAAGGCCTCGATCAGGTGATGAAGGGCTCGGTAGGTTCAGGTTTGATTCGAGGCGGTCGCTCTGGTGGGAAGACGAAGAGACGGGGGAGGGGATGTTCGAGTCTGCGAGGCGATCCAGCTCTTTGACCCCTGACTCCGCATGACTTCAATGACTTCTGGAATCCCCCGCCTCTTCCAGAGCCAAAAATGGCGCGATCTGCTGGCACTGAGCAACTGCCACAGCGTCGGACCTGCAGACCTTTCAAGTGCCGGCTGCTACTTGCATCCGTTGCAGCCATTGCAACCGCTGCAAATGGAATCTGGCAGTAGAACACGGGCTGGCAGACTTGGCAAGCTTCCTCACTCAGTTCAGCCTATTTTTGTGAATTATGCTTGGCACAGAAAGCGGTTGAAGCATCGTCGGGCAGCGGCAACATACCGCAAAATCGGGCACCGCATTGCCACCGCATTGCTGTGCTGTGGTGTTCTCAGCCGGAAGCACTCACAATGCCCAAGGGCGATCCATGATTGAATATGCTGTATAGTGACTGTAGTGACGAGGCAGGTTACCCGCCACCCAAGTGTAGAGCGAAACACATAAGATACTTTGGCCAGCATGTGGCGCGCTCTTACGTCTCATGCAACCTGTGCAGCGGCAGCTGGCAGACGCTGGAGGCTTCCGACAAGCAAGGTTGAAGTTTTCAGCTTTTCAGCGGTTTGCAGGCTTGCCCTTTGTCATTTGTTCCCTTCGAGTACAGGCCACCTGCGCGTGCTGCCGGGACATGGGCGGTGCAGGAGAGCTTTCCTACTAGCTTGCCTAACAAAATCCTTGAAGCCCTGCTTTCGTCCTGCAGCCTTTCTGGGCGTGACTCGGTGAGGAGACACCGAACCCGAATGTGTGGAAGTTCGCGTCCGCTTCTCAGCCACACGGTGCAGCGGGTTTGCCTTGCTCCTCGATGTCGATTGCGACTTCGATATATTGCGGTGGGTTTCAAGGGGCTCCTCGCGGGTTCCCCAGCGCGCACGGCACGAGCTGCTCGACCTGCCGGGCGTGCGTGACGTCTTCGTCGGCGAGGCTCCCGGGTCCAACCCTGACAGCGCTGTATGCGTGCTGTAAGACTGTAAGGGTATGATGATGACGATGGCAAGTAGACCATGTGTATGGACTTTTGTCTCGGTCTCGGCCATCAAGGTGGCACACAGAAAAGACCATTGCAACGCGTGCATAAGCGAAATAACCGCTACCTCAGCATGCCGGCTGCGCCTTGCAGCGGCTGTGAGATCCTGTTGCAGGGTAGCTCCTGGCTCGCTGTGACGCGCCAGCATGGAGCTGACTGGCAGCTGCGCCCCGGCAACACTGCAAGATGCCGCGCGGATTGCAGGGAACTTCCCCCTTGTGCTTTGCAGGCTGTCGGCACAGGTGCAAGACCTCCTCCAACAGCTGCCCGAGGACCATGCTAAGCATGCTAAGCATGCTAAGCATGCAATGTGTGGACATGAAGGGGACGCGGCACATTGGCACATTGGCACCAACGAGCCGCACAGCAGGAGGAGCCCGCTGCAGAGCCGAAGGCGTCAGCGGAGTCAGCACCAGGCTCCGAGGTGCAGGCGCTGCTGGAAGAGGTCGGACCCCCCAGAGCAAGAGAATGCGCAAGAGTATGCAAGAGTTATGCTTCAGAAGAAAGGCTTACTGAATCACATTGAATGCTAGAACTCGGCTCCAGGTTCTCCAGCACCGCATCCGGCCCTCGGTGCAAGACGACGGGGGCGACGTTGAGCTCAAGGTCCCCATGTTAGACGAAAAGGTCCAAAAGCTTGCTTAAGAGGAGTACTCTGAGTCCTTGCAAGACCTGCAAAGAGCTGGGAGGCCTGGGATCCTGCCAGCGGTGAGGTGCTGCTGCAGCTCAAGGCCTGTCTATAGGACCCTTTTTTTTGAGACTGCCGAAGCTTGTTTCAGCTCTCCTGTCAGGGGGCTTGTCGTGGGTGTCCGCAGAGCGCCGTGACCCTGCAAGTGCGCCGCCCTTGTTGAGGGGTGTACAGACGCCCATGTGAATGCATAAGTGTGTCTCTGTGTTTATGGACACGCATAAGAATGCACACATATGGAGCTTGAGCATTGAGAGCTGTGCCATGTTTTTTTTTCATGGCCAGGTCATTAGGATCGTCCCGTTGCCAGCCAATTGGGATCCCACAAATGGATGTAAAATACCAAAGTACCCACGGATGCACAACAAGACATGCGTCTTGTGTGAAGTTACAAAGCCAGGAGAGCATCCTGAAGACGCTGAAGCACTTCGTGCCCGAAGTTCAAACGGTTCGTGCCAAGGAGGCCTGGCCATGCTGCCTTTTGACATAGGAGCTGCGGTAGCTTATGTTAAGCTGCTTTTCTGAAAAGCTCCTATCTTGGGCAAGCTGCATGGCCGGTGTTACCTGCAGAGCTTCTTTTCTGTTTGTCGTCCTTGGACGATGAGTCGGGCCATGGCAAGGAAGAGCCAGACTCCACGGACCCATTCGCTGCACCTCGCCTTTCAATACCCTTGTGTTGCCACCGGCTACCGAACCCCTACGGCGAACTTAGCACAGGAGGGCAACAGGAGGGCAAAGCAGAGTCCAATTCGGCCAAGGACATTTCCTGGCTACATGTGGGGGAGGCTGCTGGCAGCGCAGTGCGAGAGCTCGTTGCCAAGGGCACGCCTATCTTTTCCACCTTCGCGGGCACCAAGGCAGGCCGTGGGGTGGGACCAGCAATGCGTGAGATCAGTTCTTGTGTCTTGGGCCGGGAGGTTGAGGGCGCAAAACTCCGGCAGCACAGCTGCAGTCAGCGATGCAGCGCAAGAGGTCCGATTTTCACGACGGCGACAGTGAGAGAGATCGAGAGAGAGAGAGAGAGACTGCCCAGCAGAAGAAGAAACATGAGAAGAAGAAGAAGAAGAAGAGAGAGAAAGAGAGCAGACTACGAACCCTAAAACGCGGCGCAGGCGAACTCGCCCAGGGCCTGACCCAATGCCCCACGAAAGAAATATACAGAAGAAATAAGACAAAGAAAGAAAGAAAGAAAGACAACCCTCCATAAGTTCCACGCAGCGGTTTCCTGTGGGGACGCTCTTCGAGATGCCGAGGCGCATTAGCTTCATGTCGGAGATTGTTCTGGCGGGTCGAACGCCCGAGCATATCTTGGTCGGGCGCCTACTCAAGAATATGGCATTATGGCATGCTCTTCTCAGTGCTTGCTGAGGTTTTCCGCTTATGCTCTCAGTGTACGCAGTCTTGACCAGAGATGGTTGGATGGGTAGACTCAATTAGACAGGTGACGTGCCAGGACTGCAAGGCGAAGCGAACGATCGAGGATCCTCAGGACACACGGTGATCAGCATCGTTGCACAGACGTTTCCTTTTGACGAACCCATGAGCCGTCACCTGTGTGCCTTTGTTTCCCCACCCCTCTTACATGCAGTGGGGTTTTATAGTTTTGCACCACCCTCACGAGTAGGCATGTAGCTTGATACCCATAAAACATAGCGTATTGTCTTGCGCATCTTGCATTTTGACGGGGAACTCAGCGTAGAGCTTTCAGGCTTTGCGGAGCCGAGCTCGGCCAACGGGCCATTTGCCGGCTCAACCATCGGCTAGGAGGACAATCGGTGTATGCGAAAGTGCTTGCAGGACCTGCTTCGAGCTGACAAGGGCAACACCACCGGCAATGCCGCCGTGGCCATCTGCCCCACATGTTGTGTAGTGATTTCCCTGTAGAAGGAGAAACACGGACTGACATTTCCGTGGTTTTCACAGACGCGTGTCAATTTTCGCAGGACAGAGTTTCACTCAAGTGTACAGTCCTTATAGCCGACGAAATTCGCGGCAGACCCCGGCAAGCGCGCTCGTCCGCAAGGATTGTCCCTTTTGGGTGCTTGGCGTGCAGTTGCGATACTTTCTCCACACGGCTCCTCACGTTTCCACTTGAACGCCGTGCATGAGGGTAAAGTGAGTAAAGCAGTGAAGGCTAGTGAGGGCAGTGAGGGCTCTTTCCAGACTGCAGTCCAGAGCTGCGCGGCCCAAGCACATGACGCAGCTGCGCTTCGCCGCCCTTTGCCTGCTTGCCTTGGGACATGCCTCGTGGCAGTTTCAGAAAAGCCATTTGCAGAGGGAGATGGAATAGACTCCTAAACCTGAGCTGGGTGCTGTTGGCCAGTGATTCAAGAAAAGAGGACTTCAGTATTTGTTGATCACTTTTCTCGGGTTTCTCGCACCTCCAAAGCGCCACAGATCTCAGGCCGGCTTTGCCTTCGTCCTTCTGATCATCCTCCTGCTTCGGTTGTGGGAAGGCGATGTGCTGGTCCAGTGCGGCTTTGGCGGTCGACCCTACGTGGACTTCAAGTGCATATGCGGAGGACTCTCGGGAGGTTGTACTTGGTCAATATTGTCAATAACATGACTGCAGAGAGGATTGTCGAGTGTCGCAGGCACTCTGCCCTATATCTGCTGGATCTCAGAGAGCTTCAATGGTATCTGGGCCGTGGGCGAGGGCATGGAGCCACGAGTAATGTGGCAGTCTTGGCTGTGGCCAGCAGCCCAGACTCTGCCACCGGAAGCAGTGAGACTAATTAGACATCACGGGTCTCGGCTCAGGCTGTTTCTGTCCCTGGGCCCTGCTGCGGAGGGCCTTTTGTTGATCCGAGTGCTGGCCCAAGCGCAGCCTAAAGTCTCCGCAGCAGGGGAAACTCTCGATTCCAACGAAATAGTCTTTCTGGCCTAGGCGAGGGAATGCTGGCGTGACATTTTTGAAGCTCGGCAGCGAACCGTTCTTTGAGGTGGTGGGCGGGGGGGGGGGAAGGGTGTGTTCAAAGCATGTGGCTGCTCTCCCGAGGTCGGCACGATGAGCTGGGGTTACCTGCTGCTGGCCCTGCTGCCAGACACGTTGCCAAGCCTCCCGGACTTGAAATTCTCCCCTCAAGGGTAGTGGCGGTTGAGCCCGAAAGCGAGATTTTGCTGATTCGGGTTGAAGGATGCAAAACGCGTTTGAGTGCCATCTCAGCTGTTTTCACAAAACGAAGTAAGGCAGCTACCTCTGGCTCCACTCTGGGACAGCCTTGCTGGCGCTGGGAGCCGCCTTCATCTTCCAGCTGCTGGGACCTGCTGGAAATGTCGGGTGTGAGGAAGAAATGGCAGAGATTAGCAGAGTGATCAAAGACACACTTCAAGGCTCTCCACTTTAAGAGAGGGCGCAACGTACTCTTTGCAACATGCTCTCTGCAAAATACTCCTTGCAAAACGCTCTCCTTTACTCTTTCTCTGCAGCACAAGTGCGGGTTCCCGATCGCCGAACAGGTTCATCCTTCCCTGGCGCTGTCTAGGCCGCTGGAATTCTGGGAGAGTGTGTAGGGGGCGGGGGCGGATGAGGGCGAACAAACGAGTCCAGCTGTTTGGTTCGGGTAACTTTCGCAGCACTAAAAGAAACGCAGCTTTTTTAGCGCTTTGGCTCGAGGCGTGACGCTGGTGGCCTACATCGGCGGCTACTTTTTGCTGAGCGAGTTTGTGATACTACAGGTGGTGAAGAGGGAGTTCGAGTTTGAGACTGTCTCTGTGCACCGCGAGTCATGCCTTGTTTGGTGAAAGGCTCTAGGGTTGCCCCCATCCACAGATTGTGTGCGTTATGTCTGGAACCGAGAGCTGCTGGCCTGCAGGGTGCCAGCCGCCACTTCACATACGATTGGACCTTTACTCCTGGAGTGCTCATGGAGCCTGGGTCCCTTGTGATGGTGATTTTGGCTCCATGGCTCGAATTGCTTTTCAACACCCCCCCAAATGCGCCTCCAATGGGCTCCATGGCCCTGCAATCCGAAGCCAGGAATGGACCTTGGCCTTTGGTGCAATCACCGTTGTGATCACGTACTGTATTGACGAGGCCAAGAAGGCCTGCGCAACTGGGCTGTGATCCTCTCAACCTCCATAAGCCGTCTGTCAGAATCTGTGTATCTAAGAAGGCCTGCCGAGGGGGCGCGGCCTTCGACACCAAAGAAGGCGATGCCGAGATTGGTGTTCGTGCCTGGACAGAGCATGTCAGAATAGTCACAAGAAGTCGGACATGGTTTGGGTGGAGATAGGGGGAAGAATCGAAGTTGCTGCTTCACAGGGGACATGGTTTAACTTCGGGTTTCAGTAGCATTTCAGACCATAATTGGTGGCTGCTAGTTTTTTGTTGACCTTGGCTTGCCCCTCAGGTCAGTGCTGGGCGTCTAGTCAGTGTAATTTGATTTCAATTCAAAAACTCCAACTTGTCCCAAGCGCTGAAGCGACTGAGGCATGGGATGCGAATTCAATGCCTAGGAGGCAGTTTTGACTGCGAGCTGCAGGCCCGTTTAGCTTACAGGCGCCATGGTGAACTTGTGTCTCTTGACGCACCGGTTTGATCTCTAAGCGCTACGTAGTTCTTGGGCCAGCAGCTCGGGGTGCAGACTTTGTCGACAAGTCGTAAGCCATTTTTGTTTGCCCACACAAGACTGAGCGCATCGGACGACCGGACGCATGCGCTCAGGGAAGGCTCCATGGAGGCCGGAGTTCCCAGAGCTTTGCAGCCATAGCTTGTAGCTTGCGCATGTATCCATACTTCTCCTGACCATCTGACTCCTGCTGAATGGAGACTTGGATGCGGTCTCGATATAGACATATAGCTCGAGGCCATACTCTTTTCCAACCTGCTTGCAAAGACGGGTAGATTTCGGAGAGCCCTTCTGGAGGCTGTTCTCAGAAGAGATAGGTTATGCCAATCCGAGATGGAATACAAATTTCGCGGCGCGCCCCAACTCTTTGGAGTGGAGTTTGAAGCGCCATAGTACACGCACGGGTCAGTTTCGCGGCGTGTCCTCAGACACGCTATGCGGGGTGGCCCACGAGGCACAAGAACATGCCGTAAGCTGAAGATAAGCTGAAGGTAATGTGTGGTACTGTACTGGCCACATCGACGAGCACCCAGAAGCAGTCAGCTTAAGTGAGGTACAAGCCAGGCCACGCCCGCAGCGAATTCGGCCGGCCGGGTGGGCTGCACTCTGTGCAAGCAAAAGCCAGGTCTCAGGCCGCAATTTATTTCAAAGAGCCTTCCCGCGACTTGCGGAGCCTCGAGGGCGCACGTTGGGGGCCTCTTTTGGGCGCCGTGCTTGGCGGACTCGGACTCGCCTCTTGCTGCTGCGGCGCCACCAGAAAAGGAAACAACCAAAAACAACGAGGGTCCAAATTATTCCCAGATTTTCTGTGGGCTTCACTAAGACTTTAAGAGCTGCGAATATCTTGATGCAGCACACTCCGTGGAGAGCACCTCAGAAGCAACAGAATATTTAAGGGCTAACGCCGCTGCCGCCGACCCTCGTGGAACCGGGGGGTCGGTGCGCGTGTGGGGTCGGCCCCTTCGTTGACTCATAGCTGTTTGGCACATTCCCTTTACGCATTGAGTTTCTCTAAGCATCGCAGGCTAGTAGGGCGCTTCTCGCAATGTCCCCGTCCAGCAATGCCGTCCGGAATGCCCAGCGCTTGGCTGCGCTGTGTTTTTGAGTTTTTTGGGGCGGGGAGGGGGGGGTCCCTGGTGGGGGGGCGGAAGGGGAGGGGGTGGGGGTGGGGGTCAACAGGTCGGGTGGGTCCGGGTCGCCTGATGGGGGGGTGGGGTGGGGGCGCGGTCAGGTGAGGGGCCGCGGGTGGGGGGGGTTCCCCTGGTCCGGGGCGGAAGGGGAGGGGGGTGGGGTTTGGGTGGTGGACTTCGGGCTCGGGAGGAGTAGGGGGTAGGGGCAGGGCAAGCACGCACGGAGCGTTTTTGTGGGTTGGCGGTCAATTTCGTCGGTTCTGAACCGGACAAAAAAAATGTTTTTGAGTTTTTTGGGGCCGGAGGGGGGGGTCCCTGGTCGGGGGGCGGAAGGGGAGGGGGTGGGGGTGGGGGTCGATGGCCTGGTCGTCAGGTGAGGGGCCGCGGGTGCTGGTGGGGGGCAGAAGGGGAGGGGGGTGGGGTTTGGGTGGTGGACTTCGGGTTCGGGAGGAGTAGGGGGTAGGGGCAGGGCAAGCACGCACGGAGCGTTTTTGTGGGTTGGCGGTCTGAATCGGACAAAAAAAGTGTTTTTTGAGTTTTTTGGGGCCGGGAAGGGGGGGGTCCCTGGTCTTTTTGGGGCCGGGAGGGGGGGGTCCCTGCTCGGGGGGGTCGACAGGTCGGGTGGTAGGGGGGGTTGCCCTTGGTTGGGCGGAAGGTGGGGTTTGGTGGTGGACTTCGGGCTCGGGAGGAGAAGGGGGCAGGGGCAGGGCAAGGGGGTGGGGGTGGGGGTCGACAGGTCGGGTGGGTCCGGGTCGCTTAGTTGGGGGAGGTGAGGCCGCGGGTGGGGGGGGTTCCCCTGGTCCGGGGCGGAAGGGGAGGTGGGGTGGGGTTTGGGTGGTGGACTTCGGGCTCGGGAGGAGTAGGGGGTAGGGGCAGGGCAAGCACGCACGGAGCGTTTTTGTGGGTTGGCAGCCAATTGAACTCGACAAAAAAAGTGTTTTTGAGTTTTTTGGGGCCGGGAGGTCGGGTGGGTCCGGGTCCCCTGGTCGGGGGGTGGGGGAGAAGGGGGGTGTAGGTCAGGGTCAGATTTGCAAGCACGCACGGAGCGCTTTTGTGGGTTAGCGGTCACAAATCGTCGGTTCTGAACAGGACAAAAAAAGTGTTTTTGAGTTTTTTTGGGGCCGGGAGGGGGGGGTCCCTGGTCGGGGGGCGGAGGGGTCGTCAGGTCGGCGGGGGGGTCAGGGAGAAAAAAGGGTTTTTTGGGGCCGGGAGGGGGGGTCCCTGGTCGGGGGGGAAGGGAAGGGTGGGGGGGGGGAGGTCGTCAGGACTACCTCCCGTGTAAGGGGCTTCCCGGGCGCTCGACCCCAAAGGCGGGGTCGGCGGATAACAGAAGCACACGCAGGACACGCAAAACGAGAGCCATTGCGCAACGCTGCTTGTCGGACCCGGCCCGTTGGCGGGCTTTGCCAGTTAAACGCCCGGCTGCAGAAGTTCCGGCAGAGTTGACTGTTGGGCACACTGCATGGCTGTAAAGCGCATTCGAAAGTATTGAAACGACGTGTTGTGAGCCTTGCCGACCGGCATCTCATGTTCTGTCAGAAATATTCAGCAACAACAAGAGTGGTAGTTGGAAGTACTTCAGCCTTTTTGGTCAAAGTTGGGTTTCAGGACACGAGGGTTTACTGGGGCTCATGTTCTCACCAGCTGCAGCGGTGTGATGGGCTCGGGCGAGCGTTGGCATCGACGTTTGGGGCTTATGAGCCAGCATAGTATAGCAGTTTCGCACCAGCGTTGTTGGATAGGCTGAGTGCCGATACTCTTTGAGAGCAAGGAACACAGGCATCTCACATGAGGGACAGGCCACACAATCCCGCGATAATGGATGCCTGTCATGCCGGCGATGGGTCTGGCACGGAGCCGTCGGCCATCCTCCAGGCGCCTCAATTTGTGAGCAAGTTAGCGCATTCATAGTTGAACCTTCGAGCCATCGAGGGGTTCTGCACACGTGGAATGAAATCGCCTCAACCAGATCAGACTCAAGATGCTTCTTCTTTGAAGGTTGCAGGTCGGTCGTGGATTTGACTCCGAGCTATCAGCTCTGAAAGCGCATGCGGCCACCCGGTCTGCACATAGCCATGATGGGTTTAACGGCGTTGTGTGCGCGTTCAAGTTGCAAGTTTGTTCAGGGACTTTCTTTGGAAGGGTTCCTAGAGTTGCCAAATTGTGGAGAGTCTCTGTCAGCGCCGCTGCTGTGTCTGGAGCCGGTTACACGTGCAACTGGTAGTAGCTGCTATAGTGACCAGTGCAAGCAGCGCTTGCAGAGACGTGGCTTCTCACATGACTCCCTTGCCCTGAAAAGATCCCACTTGGAGGACAGCTTGGCCATTGAGCTCTCTGTGCAGTGCACAGCAGCGGAGCTTCTCCGTTCCGAGGCCTCGATCCATGGCGTTGTGTCTGAGGCGAAAATTGAAAAGCCAAAGTGGGTGGGCATGGGGAGGGCTGTGGGTGGAGAAGGTCGCGGTCCTGCTGTGTCGGAGAAGACAGCGAAGGATTCGTGCTGCTGCGTGGCTGTGTTGTGTATTGGTTTGATGAAAGGGGAGAGACCGTCGTGAGTCCTTGTGCACCAGTAATGCTTCGGTCACAATTGCCAACTACTGTCAACGCCAAAAAGGTGTGTGAAGGTCTGCCATCAGGATATGAGTCATTTTGTAGGAGCCCTGGCACAAGCAGTTGAAGCCAAGGACATCTTCCGCACCTGGCGATGCCTTTGCAAGGTGAAGGCGGTGAAGGACGAGGGAGCCGAGGGGCGGCTGGCCGTCCGCCAGGCTGGACGCCCTGATTGGGACTTCCTTTCCACATCTTAAGCTGGGATGTGGAACTGCGAGAGGACAATGCGCTTCGCTGTGGTACCATACTTTGCTTCTTCCTGTTGCTTGGCCGACTTCTTCTCAGCACAAATGCTTCAAAAACCCCTTTAACTAACTCACTCTAAGTGGGGCACAAATACAAGCAACAAGCACAAGGTCAAGCACGCTGATGCAGCAAGTGCTCAGCCACTGGCGCTTAGCCATCCAGCGGCAGAGGCATCAACCAATCCTGGACGTGCCCCTTGCCTCACTTGCCTTGTCATATGGTGTGCCAGAAAAGCAACAGCGGCAACAGCCAGCCGTCGGAGAGTCTTTTGAGTGTTTCGGCTATGGCCCATGGAACCCTGATTCTCAAGATTTCCTGGTGATAAATCTCAGGAGGGCTTTTCGCGCCTGGCGACTGCAGCTCTACCTGTAGCTCTGCAGCAGTGAGGACACTGATACCATTTAATGAAATTTAATGTTAAATGCGGGTGCGAAAAAAGTACGTGCTTTTTCGATGGGCTCTCACGAGCAGGTGGGCCTGGCATGCGGCGGCAGTGTCTAATCAAGGCCTGTTGGTCAGGTTTCATCAGATTTCAATGCCCCAAAGGTTTCGATAGGGGGGGTCATCTGCGGGTCCGCGAGCCAGCAGCTGCCGAGTAGAAATCCGTGGCCCTGGAAGGCGGCGCCTCCCTGCGCTTGGTGGCCCTCCTCCGAACGAGGCAGCGCCAGGACTTGCTCTCCACCGTCGCTTAGCCCAAAAGAGTGTGAATCTGCGTGGACATGCGTGAGTGAACGTGCATCACCGTGCCCGGTTCGGAGGGAGGGCGGGACCGAAGGCCTGCTATCGTGTTAAGAGCTGAGGCTTGGGCAGGTTGGCAGCCGCCACCTCAGATTCACGGGTGCATGCAGCATTCACTGCTTTTGATTTCCGTCGAGTACCCACCTCCATGCACCCCCCCCTGGTG